TTGATTTACTCATTACGTACTTTAACAAACTCCACCTAGGGATTTAGTTGGATCGACTTCAAATTTCTGCTGTGCCTTCTAAAGGCATTGACGATGTAAAGTTGTGATATGTGCGCGTTTTTGTCGATGGGCGTGTCCGTGGCGTCGAAGATTCGCCATGAAACAGGAAGTTGTAGTAACTTGGCTGTAAATGCCCAGATCTGCACAAAATTTTACACATTTGACAAGAGTCCCGCCCTGAACAAATCTACATGCCGATTCACCCACAGTCATAGCGCCACCTGCTGGCAATAGGAAGTGACCTTTAATGAAGCAGCGTAGCAAATTCACAGCCGCACCGGCTGAGCTGCAAAATATGCAACGCGGCCGCCTCACACTCCGACGAGCTACAGGTGCGAGGGCCCGCCCATCGCTGCTTGCAGCTTTAATTTTTTTTTTTCTTTTTTCTGCAAAGTAAGTGCCATTTTCGGGGCCGCAACATGCTCAAAAACTCACCAAATTTGGCACGCATGTCAGGACTGGTGAAAAATTTCGTATTTTGTGGGTTTCGCGGATGGGCGTGGCAAAATGGCACGCTAGCGCCACCTAGAAAATTGGAAAAAATTAGCCCCTCGTCCACGTTCAACCTACATGCACGAAATTTGGTGGGGACGTGTATCATATCAAGACGCACAACAAAGCCTCAAGAACCCATACCCTAAACTCGACAGGAAGTACGCAATTTTGAATTTGGCGGCCATTTTTGGACGATTTACACACTCCGTACTTTAACGAACTCCTCCTAGGGATTTAGTCGGATCGACTTAAAATTTCTGCTGTACCTTCTAAAGGCATTGACGATGTAAAGTTGTGCTATCTGCGCGTTTTCGTCGATGGGCGTGTCCGTGGCGTCGATGATTCGCCATGAAACAGGAAGTTGTAGTAACTTGGCTGTAAATGCCCAGATCTGCACGAAATTTGACACATTTGACAAGAGTCCCGTCCTGAACAAATCTACATGCCGACATTCACCCACAGTCATAGCGCCACCTAGTGGCAACAGGAAGTGTCCTTTAACAAAGCAGCGAAAAATTTCACAGCTGCACCGGCTGAGCCGCAGAATATGCAACGCGGCCGCCTCACACCCCAACGCGCTACAGGTGCGAGGGCCCGCCCATCGCTGCTTGCAGCTTTAATTATTAGGGCCCGAGCACTAACAGTGCGAGGACCCTATTGAAACTGTTAGGGTTATTTATTTATTTTTTTATTTTTTCTGCAAAGTAAGCGCCATTTTCAGGGCCGCAACATGCTCAAAAACTCACCAAATTTGGCACGCATGTCAGGACTGGTGAAAAATTTCGTATTTTGTGGGTTTCACGGATGGGCGTGGCAAAACGGCACGCTAGCGCCACCTAGAAAATTGGAAAAAATTAGCCCCTCGTCCACGTTCAACCTACATGCACGAAATTTGGTGGGGACGTGTATCATATCAAGATGCACAAAAAAGCCTCAAGAACCCATACCCTAAACTCGACAGGAAGTCCGCCATTTTGAATTTGGCGGCCATTTTTGGACGATTTACACACTCCGTACTTTAACGAACTCCTCCTAGGGATATAGTCGGATCGACTTCAAATTTGTACCTAGAAAATTGGAAAAAATTAGCCCCTCGTCCACGTTCAACCTTCAAGACGCACAAAAAAGCCTCAAGAACCCATACCCTAAACTCAACAGGAAGTCGGCCATTTTGAATTTGGCGCCCATTTTGGGACGATTTACACACTCAGTACTTTAACAAACTCCTCCTAGGGATTTAGTCGGATCGACTTCAAATTTCTGCTGTGCCTTCTAAAGGCATTGATGATGTAAAGTTGTGCTATCTGCGCGTTTTCGTCGATGGGCGTGTCCGTGGCGTCGAAGATTCGCCATGAAACAGGAAGTTGTAGTAACTTGGCTGTAAATGCCCAGATCTGCACGAAATTTTACACATTTGACAAGAGTCCTGCCCTGAACAAATCTACATGCCGACATTCACCCACAGTCATAGCGCCACCTAGTGGCAACAGGAAGTGTCCTTTAACAAAGCAGCGAAAAATTTCACAGCTGCACCGGCTGAGCCGCAGAATATGCAACGCGGCCGCCTCACACCCCAACGCGCTACAGGTGCGAGGGCCCGCCCATCGCTGCTTGCAGCTTTAATTATTAGGGCCCGAGCACTAACAGTGCGAGGACCCTATTGAAACTGTTAGGGTTATTTATTTATTTTTTTATTTTTTTTCTGCAAAGTAAGCGCCATTTTCGGGGCCGCAACATGCTCAAAAACTCACCAAATTTGGCACGCATGTCAGGACTGGTGAAAAATTTCGTATTTTGTGGGTTTCACGGATGGGCGTGGCAAAACGGCACGCTAGCGCCACCTAGAAAATTGGAAAAAATTAGCCCCTCGTCCATGTTCAACCTACATGCACGAAATTTGGTGGGGACGTGTATCATATCAAGATGCACAAAAAAGCCTCAAGAACCCATACCCTAAACTCGACAGGAAGTCCGCCATTTTGAATTTGGCGGCCATTTTTGGACGATTTACACACTCCGTACTTTAACGAACTCCTCCTAGGGATATAGTCGGATCGACTTCAAATTTGTACCTAGAAAATTGGAAAAAATTAGCCCCTCGTCCACGTTCAACCTTCAAGACGCACAAAAAAGCCTCAAGAACCCATACCCTAAACTCAACAGGAAGTCGGCCATTTTGAATTTGGCGCCCATTTTGGGACGATTTACACACTCAGTACTTTAACAAACTCCTCCTAGGGATTTAGTCGGATCGACTTCAAATTTCTGCTGTGCCTTCTAAAGGCATTGATGATGTAAAGTTGTGCTATCTGCGCGTTTTCGTCGATGGGCGTGTCCGTGGCGTCGAAGATTCGCCATGAAACAGGAAGTTGTAGTAATTTGGCTGTAAATGCCCAGATCTGCACGAAATTTGACACATTTGACAAGAGTCCCGTCCTGAACAAATCTACATGCCGACATTCACCCACAGTCATAGCGCCACCTAGTGGCAACAGGAAGTGACCTTTAACAAGCAGCCCCCGCCACACGTTTGACCGACATATACGAAATTTCTGTGGTACATCTACCATGTCCACACGTACAGAAAAGTCTCTTGGAGCAATGCCCTAAACTCGACAGGAATTCCGCCATTTCTAATTTTACCGCCATTTTTGGATGATTTACTCATTACGTACTTTAACTAACTCCTCCTAGGGATTTAGTCTGATCAACTTCAAATTTCTGCTGTGCCTTCTAAAAACATTGACAATGTAAAGTTGTGCTATCTGCGCATTTTCGTCCATGGGCGTGTCCGTGGCGTCGATGATTCGCCATGAACCATGAAGTTGTTGTAACTTGGCTGTTAATGCCCAGATCTGCACGAAATTTTACACATCTGAGAAGAGTCCCGCCCTGAACAAATCTACATGCCGACATTCACCCACAGTCATAGCGCCACCTAGTGGCAACAGGAAGTGACTTTTAACGAAGCAGCCCCCGCCGCATGTTTGACCGACATGTACGAAATTTCTGTGGTACATCTACCATGTCCAGATGCACAGAAAAGTCTCTTGGAGCGATGCCCTAAACTCGACAAGAAGTTCGCCATTTCTAATTTTACCACCATTTTTGGATGATTTACTCATTACGTACTTTAACTAACTCCTCCTAGGGATTTAGTCGGATCGACTTCACATTTCTGCTCTGCCTTCTAAAGGCATTGACGATGTAAAGTTGTGCTATCTGCACATTTTCGTCCATGGGTGTGTCCATGGCGTCGATGATTCGCCATGAAACAGGAAGTTGTTGTAACTTCAGTGTACATCCTCAGACCTGTGTGAAATTTTATACGTTGTACAACAGTCCCGCCCTGAACACATGTACATGCTGAAATTAGACCACAGTAATAGCGCCATCTGCTGGCAACAGGAAGTGACCTTTAACGAAGCAGCCCCCGCCGCATGTTTGTCTGACATGTACAAAATTTCTGTGGTACATCTACCATGTCCAGACACACAGAAAAGTCTCTTGGAGCGATACCCTAAACTCAACAGGAAGTCGGCCATTTCTAATTTTACCGCCATTTTTGGATGATTTCCTCATTACGTACTTTAACAAACTCCTCCTAGGGATTTAGTCGGATCGACTTCACATTTCTGCTGTGCTTCCTAAAGGCATTGACGATGTAACGTTGTGCTATCAGCGCATTTTTCGTCAATGGGCATGTCCGAAGCATCGACAATTCGCCATGAAACAGGAAGTTGTTGTAACTTTATTGTACATCCTCAGACCTGCGCGAAATATTATGTTATACAACAGTCCCGCCCTGAACACATGTAGATGCCGAAATTAGCCCACAGTCATAGCGCCACCTGCTGGCAACAGGAAGTTACCTTTAACGAAGCAGCCCCCGCCGCTCATTTGACCTACATTTACGAAATATGCAACGCGGCCGCCTCACACCCCGATGTGCCCCAGGTGCTAGAGCCCGCCCATCGCTGCTTGCAGCTTTAATGTTTTATTAGCATTTTTTAATTATTATTAATAACTATGAGTGTTCAATACTGCCAACAGACATTTAAATTTAGGTAAAGTCTGAGGAAGAATGTTGATTAAAAAAAAGTTGGTTGCTGAATACCCCCTTCAAGGATGTGTGCTTACATGGTCAGTAGAAATTCTGTCATCATTTACTCACCCTCAAGTTTTTTCAAAGTTCAAACCTGTATGTATTTTTCTTCTGCTGAACACAAAGATATTTTGAAGAATGTTGGTAACCAAACCATTAACTGGAGCCATTGACTTCCATAGTATTTTTTTTTTCCTACTATGGAAGTCAATGGCTCCAGTTAGTGTTTGGTTACCGACATTCTTCACAATATCTTTGTGTTCAGCTGAAGAAAAATTCATACAGGTTTGAAACAACTTGAGGGTGAGTAAATGATGACAGAATTTTCATTTTAAAGTGAACTACCCCTTTAAAGCGGCTTTCTGAAGTGATCGTGTAATGTAATATCTTTATTAATGTAATATCATTTTGTAATACATTTCTTTTTTTAAAGGTGGTGGAAATTCAGGATTGCTGTCATTCAAGAAGTTATTACTGACCACATCTCTACCCCATTGATGCAGTGAGCTACAAAATACCTGAAGAAAAAGGCACTTATCCTGGAGTTCAAATAAAGGTGAGCAACACATTTTAATTAATTTAATTAAATAATTTATAGATTATGTTATTATGTTTCTGTTTATTTAGTTGAACATAATTAAACATATTATAATGTATAGTTGAGCAGATAAGCTAACATGACATGCAACTGGAGTCCACTGGAAACAAAAGTCTTAGCATCTAGCACTTAGCATACAGTGTTTGAATTTGAAAGAATTAGGGATGGCTGATTATTTATAGTTGATAATTTAACGAATGTAAAATAGTGTACAGCTGTTTTTCAAAACCTGGTCTGCATGATACCATGGAGTTAATTTTCCTTCATTTAATTTCTAGTGCAGCTAAAATATATCTTTTTTTCTTCATATCCAACTTTTCTGTGCAGAAATCCTGAACGAAGGTCGAAATGACTGAGATGAAGGAAACCAAACGTATTTCATTCCTTCAAGACTGCTGAAGTCCCTGTATGAAAAACTTGAAAAAAACATGTAAAGTTTTAGCTTTTGTCAAATCTGAAAATGGAACTTAAACTGAACATACCGATCACTCCTTCATTAGGTGATAGACAGGGATCGGCACTTCCTCATCAAAAAGATCCTGGATAATCTACCTGATGAACATCTACGTCCAGCCCTGAATCACCTACCTGTGTCGGCACGGAGAGAACAACGGCAACCTGGTGGGACAGATGGGCCGTGATACAGGCCTCTCGCTGCGAGACAGACAGGTACGGTTAACCGTAGACGGAACCATTACAGTACACGGTAACTAAATTTCAAACATTATGATGGATAGGCCACACACTATTTTCTCCCCTCTGCAGTTTTTGGTGGCTAAACCCAAGTCTGCAGTCCTACTAGGACCTGGTCCAATCAGTCTGGTGGCTCTGAAGAATTTACTACACATTTCTTGGTGAGGGATGAGTTCTCCCCACCTAGAATCTTTGTTTTCATTGTTTTGACACATTCTGTATGTCAATACAGTATGTCCTGGCCTCACAAAATAGTGTTTTGTAGAAACTATGATGAGAAACTATATACTTTTCCCTTTTGTGTTTTTTTCCCTTTATATTTTAGTTTTCATGGAATTGTTGTATATCTATAAGTAAATAAAAATATTTTTTAATCACAGAAGATTTGTTTGTAATGTTTTCAACAAGAGTTATCATTACACTGTTAACTAACAGTAAAATTTCTATTTGCTGTAAGTATATTGCATGAATTCATCTGTTTTATTTTTACTGTAGGAAAACGTCTCGGTTACAGATGTAACCCTCGTTCCCTGAGTAGGGAACGGAGACGTTACGTCAGGAGTGACGGAGAATGGGGGTTTCGCATAGAAAGCCAATCCTCTTCGAGTATTTAACAATGAGCCAATGGCATGAAAATGCCTTGAATTTGCATAGCGTACCTCCGCCCCACCCCGTGGGTATAAAAGGAGGAAGTGAACGCAACCGCAGTATGTCTTCGCTGAGGAGCCAAAACTGAACTCAGCGTCTACCCAGCAATACAGCAGAAGTGGCAAGGAGACGTAACGTTCCCTTTCGTAGTCACTCCGAGTTACGTCAGGAGTGACGGAGAACGGGGGTCTATGCCATCACGCCATCTTCATAGCTGTCTTCCAGTGCCCTGCGAAAGTCTGGACTCCTTCTTACTTAACTTACACAGGAGATACCTACTTTGACACAGGAATACCAAGGTACACTGGGAAACATTTCCGGGGAGGGACATGCTACCAAATGCCTACCGTAGGGAGGACTTAGGAATACACATATGGCCGTGTTAGGGACTACATATGGAGATCACTGGACTACCAACCTGCTTAGGGTGGCTTACAGTGGATAATACACATGAGACAGTTACCATAGGGAACCGTGCACATGGAGGCACCTAGCCAGAGAAAAAGCAGTGGTGCCCGCATCGTAAGTGCTGGAGGACTCAATGCCTCAACGGAAGACTACTGAGGAAATATCGCACTTATCCAGTCCGAGGAGTGGAATAGCGAGCTAGCGAAGACACCTAAGCGGGTCCAGTACTGGCGGAAGCGAGTACGCGAGAGGAGGTCCTGAAACACCGCGTTCTGTCGACGTAGGCGCGGAGCGCACGTACCGGACAGAGCAGTGCCAAGGCTGGGTCTGCCTCCTCCAGGGGCAGCGCTTGCAGGTTCACCACCTGGTCCCGGAAGGGAGTGGTGGGAACCTTGGGCACGTATCCAGGCCGGGGTCTCAAGATCACGTGAGAGTAAGCCGGCCCGAACTCCAGGCACGCTTTGTCAACAAAGAATGCGTGCAGGTCCCCTACCCTCTTGATGGAGGCCAATGCAACCAGGAGTGCTGTCTTCATGGACAGAAACTTTAACTCTACCGATTGCAAAGGCTCAAAGGGAGGCCTCTGCAGAGCACTTAGAACTACTGAGAGGTCCCAAGAGGGCACGAGGGGAGGACGAGGCGGATTTAGCCTCCTCGCTCCCCTCAGGAACCTGATGACCAGGTCGTGATTCCCGACGGACTTACCTTCTACTGCATCATGAGACGCGGAAACCTTAAGGGTGGAGGGTTTACGTCGTGTCCAACCCTTCTTGCAGGAAGAAAAGCACGACACCGATCGAAAATCTCCGGGGGTCTTCTCCGCTAGAAGAGCACCAGTTGACGAAGAGGTTCCACTTCAACGCGTAAAGGTGTCTCGTGGATGACGCTCTAGCAGAAGTGATGGTTGCCGCCACCGCGGGTGGCAGCGAACTCAAACGTGGAGCGAGGTCGGCGACGGCATGCAGCTCAAGGATGAGCTCTGAATCAGCCCTACCCTCGTGCATGTCACTGAACACCCATGAGAATGACAATAACATACAGTGAGGTGGCAGCCTGCCCCGCAGATCTATAGGTCCCCGCCACCGGAGTAGACAAGAACCTACAGGCATTGGAGGGGTGCCACACCAGGTTGCCGCAGAACACTCCACAGGGGGGAACCCCAGTGCACCCTAGACTGCGGCCTCTAGGAGGGCAGAGAAGTTGGAAGAAGCTGTTGAGTGATCGTGAAAAGTCAAAGGAGACTTCCACGATCTCACGGCCTCTTCATGCACATCCGGGTAGAAAGGATTTGGGTTCGCCACCCCCAAAAACCAATCATCAGCCTTAAGTGCTCGGGATATGGCAGAATTTTCCACACAAACCCGAAACTCGTGGCAGCCCGGGAAGCATAGCTGTGAGCCCTGAATCAAGCTCGCTATGCTAGCACATCCGAGGACAGCAGCACAGACGAGCCATCTCCAAAGACTCCAGCTCACCTTGTGATGCGGCAATAAACATGATTTCATCAGCTGGGGGACCGAATGAGAACGCGGGCCTGAGAACGGCTCCGCCCACTCACTCTCGACCAACGTGAAAGACGGGGTGTGGACTGACGAATTTCGTCGGTTTAGTTCCAGACCTAACGTCTTTTTGGTCACCCTGGCCACCAGCCAAAGCATTATCTCACGTGGAGAAAATGGTTCGGGTTGTGGATGAGGGGACTCTCACTCTACTGAGCTCATTGAGTCTCAACCGCTATACATTGCGATGATCACGTTCCCACTGAGAGAACGTGACACACCCACGAGCGCTGTCTGAGCGTGATCAAAGCCCAAACACGTCAAACAGTGCTCGCGCCCATCAGCTGACTCTATCAGAATACTGCACTCAGGAATACACGGGCAGATCGTCTTCAAAAAGACGCGTCTTTAAAAAGACGTGCCGCGTGCACACTCTTTCAGTGAGAGGAGAAAACTCTGCGGAAGTTGAAGCGACCAGGGAGAGACACACACACTGGCAGACCACTGCTCAGATCGCAGGCAATGTGAACCTCGCTGGGTACCGTACCTCGCTGGGTACCGCCGTCACACCAACACCAGAGAGTTCGCTCGTCTCGAAGAGGTGAGTCACCATAGTAAACTCAGATTGTGTGGCTTGTGGAGTGAAGAAGTTCTCTTGGCTCCGAAGCGAAAACATACTGCGGTTGCGTTCACTTCCTCCTTTTATACCCACGGGGTGGGGCGGAGGTACGCTATGCAAATTCCGCAGCCCCAAGGCATTTTCATGCCATTGGCTCGTTGTTAAATACTCAAAGAGGATTGGCTTTCTATGCAAAACCCCCATTCTCCGTCACTCCTGACATAACTCTGAGTGACTACGAAAGGGAACCATAAATTAACGGAAATCTTTAATCTTTTAATTACGGAACAAATTCCGGGTCATGAGCTGCCAGTACATTTTCTGTTATTTTACGGATTTATTTAATATTTGCGTTTTTTTTACTGTAGTTATGTCATTAAATAACAGAAAGTGTCATGTTTTTTTTACAATAAATATATCATTAAATTACAGAAATTTTCCAGTCTTTTACTATAGATATACCATTAAATAACAGAAAATTTCTGTTTTATTTACATTGGGCACACTGTGAATTAACAGAAAATGTCAGTTTTTTTAATTACGGGACAAAGTCCGGGTTATGAGCTGCCAGTACTTTTTCTGTTATTTTACGGATTTATTTCTTAGAGTGTATGGTTGTAATGGTAAGAGATTCTCACAGTATGATAACGTCTCAGAAAATATCACGGTTTACAGTATTAATCAATAACTAGAAAAAGTTTGTCGTTACAAACTTTAAGTTGGCTTGTGAAAGTTTGGACCAGAAAGTTTTAAGAAGTATAAAATAGTTTTAAGTTTAAAGTAGTTTAAAGTAAAAAAAAAAAAAAAGAAAAAGAAAGAAAGAAAGATCAGTTTAGAAAGAAAGAACGAAAAGAATAGTTAAAAAGAAAGAAAGAGAGAAAGATTAGAAAGTTTACAGTATCTTTAATCTTTCTCAAAGTAATGTAATTGTCTTAGCGCAGTTTCAAAAACCCTCCACCTTCCCCAGATCCACCTGTATAGATCTGCTATGGGTTATTTATGTATGCTATATTGTACAGCAGCAGCATCTCTTACTTGCTTACAGCAGCGTGTTGTGTATGTATTAGCAGTAACAAGTTCAATTCTTGCTCTGCAACAGATCAAACATATCAACATGGTCATAGCCATTAATATCATATCGAGACTAGATTCCCTATTGGTTGCTGGGCACTGAGAAATGTGGCCTCCATCTTAAACTGGTCGTATTCCTATTGTGTTGCATAGCAGCAGTAGATGACAGAGCACTGTGCAGCATATTCCTGCTCAAATTGGCAGACTATCGCTCGGGAATTACTTTTCACAAGTAAGATTTAGCATTTAATATTACCTGACTAAAGTTTGTATTTTTGTGAATAAAATATCCCATGTGTCCTGTCTCATAGCTATATATATGACCTTTGCAGGAAAAAAAACCCGTGTGAAAATCAGTTCGGTATTCAGTGAGATATGATTCATTAAATGTGCTGACAGCTCACATCACCTGCCAAACAGATTACACTGAGCAGAGCGGATGACCAGCGGATGACCTTGCCACTGTCGCCTTGCTTTTGGCTTGCTTTGGGCTTGCTCAGTTGGGGTTATTTAGTGTTTAGCAATAGTATTGATCTGTGTTGTACTACTTTCATGTTATCACTGTGAAGCTGCTTTGATACAATCTGTATTGTGAAAAGCGCTATATAAATAAATGTGACTTGACTTGACTTGACTTTAAGATGGTGGCCCCACGGCTCGTCCGTGCCAATAGGCTGTAGTGGTTGATAGGGCGTCTACCTATATGATGTCTATGGTTATAGCCATTACCATGCCAAACACTCATGACAGAGTTGTCATGACAGAACTGTAATTACTGTAAAATATTCACATTCATTCACATACTGTATCTGGCTGTATCTGTTTACAATAATACAAAATTATATTCTATCATTCTGGTTTTCTCTCTTTTATTATAGGGGGATCAAGGCGACCAGGGTCCACGGGTATGTGTTTTTTTTTTCTTTTTCATTTTTATCTTGCATGTCACGCTCTGATGTGTGGATGAATGTGTGTTATGTCTCCCTTATGCCTTATGGACATGTGGGCTGCATGTTTGAGATGCATGGGTTTCTGTGGACAAGCTGACTCTGGCTTGTCAGGCACAACAGAGCCTTACTGGTGTGTGTGTGTGTGTGTGTGTGTGTGTGTGTGTGTGTGTGTGTGTGTGTGTGTGTGTGTGTGTGTGTGTGTGTGTGTGTGTGTGTGTGTGTGTGTGTGTGTGTGTGTGTGCGTGTGTGTGTGTGTGTGTGTGTGTGTGTGTGTGTGTGTGTGTGTGTGTGTGTGAATAAGGGTTGAAACTATAAATGGCCTCATATTGTGCAAGATCAAAGTCCAAAGTCCTAGAATCAAAGTCCTAACATACTGCGGCTTCATAATGGTGTGTGTGTATGTCAGACTAAGAGTTTATTGAAAGAATGTAATTATTTCCAGCTCAGTTGCTTGACAGCTTGATAAATTCATACCTCTTAAAGGAATATTATAAAGAATGTGCTTTGCTATAGTTTACAGATTATGAAATAAATCACTTGCATATCTCATTACAATATCCTTGTATGTGTGCTGACTGGTCTTCAGTTGAGTGAAACAGCTTCTCTCTAACACAGAATAGTGTCTTTTCTTATTATTATTATTATCTCTCTCTCTCTCTCTCTCTCTCTCTCTCTCTCTCTCTCTCTCTCTCTCTCTCTCTCTCTCTCTCTCTGTTACTTTGTGCATTTTCTTGGAAAGTATCATAATCTTGAACAGACTCTAAGGGCATCTGAGCTTAAAGTGAGTGTCTTGAACTGTTTTCGCCCATGCATTGGAGTAACCGGAAGTTAACTTTTATAAATGGTCAAGTCAAGTCACCTTTATTTATATAGCGCTTTTTACAATACAGATTGTATCAAAGCAGCTTCACAGTGATAACATGAAAATAATACAATAAGTTTGTTTCTAGAAGAAAATTGTGTCATCATCCATAATATTGTTGAATATTAAGGTCAATATTGGGGTGGTGATGGTGCAGTGGATAAGACAAATGCCTTTGATGTGAGAGACACAGGTTCGAATCCACTGTGAGACACCAATGTGTCCCTGAGCAAGACACTTAACCCCTAGTTACTCCAGAGGCGTGCGACCTCTGACATATATAGAAATTGTAAGTCGCTTTAGATAAAAGCGTCAGCTAAATGAATAAATGTAAATGTCCCCAATTAAGAAAGCCAAAAGCCAAGGCAACAGTGGCAAGGAACCAAAACTCCATTAGGTGACAGAATGGAGAAAAAAACCTTGGAAGAAACCAGGCTCAGTTGGGGGCCAGTTCTCCTCTGGCCCCCAACTGAACGAACAGTGTATGATTATGATTCAGGCAACATTACAGGTCAGAAGTCAGATTGGATCAGAACATTCACAATTATTATCCAGTTCCATCTGGTTGGAGGTCGGAGTCATCACGGCATAGAGAAGTTTGTTGTCCATGAGGCCTTCACAGGGCTGATGAAGCTGGCACTTCAGGGATGCGTTGTGGTTGTGTCCAGGCGCAGGTTCACGGTCTGATCTGGATACGGCCCGGATCCGGCTGACTTCAGTAAACTTCGGAATAAATGGAAAGACTAACATTTGCGTAGATGTACGAGTACATCGGGTGTTGTAGGAAGTGTCCCCGGTTCTGGCTGACCTAATCTATGCAGCCTAATAATTTAACTGATTTGAATAATAGAAATGTATAATGTTCTATGTGAATGCCAGGTAAAAGAGAAGTGTTCCCTTTCGTAGTCACTTCGAGTTACGTCAGAAGTGACGGAGATTGGGGGTTTCGCATAGAAAGCCAATCCTCTTCGAGTATTTAAAAACGAGCCAATGGCATGCAATGCCTTGGGGCTGCGGAAATTTGCATAGCGCACTCCGCCCCACTCCGTGAGTATAAAAGGAGGAAGCGAACGCAACCGCAGTATGTTTTCGCTTCGGAGCCAAGAGAACCTCTTCACTCCTGAAAGCTATTACAAGACTCTTCGAGACGAGCGTCCTCTTCAGTGTTGGTGTGACGGCGGTACCCAGCGAGTTTCTGCATTGCCTGCGATCTGTGCAGTGGTCTGCCAGACTTTGCGCTTCTCCCTGGTCGCCTCAGCGCTGAAAGAGTGAATTTTCCTCCTCTCTGTAAAAGAGCTACACGCTGCCCGTGTCGGATCCCGAGCTGACGGCATGCTGTCTCGAGCCGCTGGGAGTATTGGGTTAGAGTGGGATCCTCCATTCTCCCCCGATCTCTCACGGAGGGATAATTGGTTTTTGGACAAAGCTGCCGCCGCGAGGCCACGGCCAACTCCATTGCCTTTTTTCCCCCGAGCTGCATGCGGAGTTATCGCGCTCTTGGGGGACTCCTCTGTCCACTCGAGAGCGCGATCTCTCCCCCGCCTTTTCGTACACTGGGATGCCCCCGCTGGAGCGCTCTGTTGCGATACAGCTGTGTCCACAGAGCGCCTCCTCCCGTGGTCCTCCTAAGCACCCATCCAAAGCCTGTAGGTTCTCGTCTGCCATGGCGGCGCGTTCCTATAGAGCGGCGGGACGGGCGGCCTCCGCTTTGCATGCGATGAGCACTGTGCAAGCGCAGATGCTCAGAGATATGCTCGAGGGCGGGACTGATCCAGCGGCATTCGAAGATTTACGGTCCTCCACTGACCTTGCTCTCCAAAAGGGCGACGAAAGTGGCCGCTCGCGCCGTTGGTCAGGTGATGGCCACTAGTGTGGTCCAGGAGCGTCAACCTGGCAGACACTCGGAGCGCTGAGCGGATTCGTCTGCTCGACGCCCCTCTCTCCCAGGTTGGCCTTTTTGGCGGTGCAGTCGAGAACTCTTGCCCAGCAGTTCTCCACTGCCCAGGAGCAGACGGAGGCAATCGAACATATTCTGCCCCGACGACCAGCTGCTGCCTCCACCCAGTCGTCGGCACAGATGCCTCCGCTGCTCGCTCGCCGCCGAGGACGCCCCCCCGCGGCCCCCCTCCCGCCCCGCCCCAGCAGCAGCCTTCATCCGGGCCACGGCGTGGAGGAGGCCGCCGGCAGGCGTCACAGCCCCCTCAGGCCGCACACCCCGCTAAACGCCAGGTAAGCGATGATCCTGATACGGGCTGCTCAGTGATGGAGTTGAGTTTTTCCCCAGGAGGCGGTAGCAGGCCCCCTCCTGCCCCCGGTGGAGGGCCGGGGGAAAATCTTTCGTTTTCAGCTCCCCGCTGCTCACCCACGGGTGGGCAGCGCCCTGAGTTGGTTAAGGAAAGACTTGACATCATCACTGAGCCCACAGACTGGAATGAGTGCGCTCGACGTTCCAGTGCGTCAGCCCACACATTCCTCTCTGTCTCTGAGGGCGCGGAAGGGTGCGAGTGTCGTCCCCGGGCTACGCCAATCCCTTCCCCCTCTATCGCCAGACCCCCGGCAGAACAGACCCCCGTGGAACGCTCCGCCTTCCCTGGTCTCTTCTGTCGGGGAGCGGGCTTCGACAGTGCACCCGGGCGGGGTAACTCCTGCGCGCATGCCAGTCGACCCGCCTCGCTGCCCCTCCGGGGGGATGTCTGTGGTTCGGATGACCCCGTTGGTTCACTTCCTGGAAGCCTGGCTAGAGCTTCCCGGGCTATCCCGCTGGGTCATCAGAACGATCAGATTTGGCTACGCGATTCAGTTCGCACGGTCTCCTCCCCGTTTCAGGGGAGTTCACTCCACGATGGTCGGTGGCAATGCCCCGGTCTTGAGAGCGGAGATTGCGACCCTGCTGGCGAAGGGTGCATTCGAGACGGTCCCTCCAGCCGAGATGAGGTCCGGGCTGTACAGCCCCGACTTCATTGTCCCCAAAAAGACCGGTGGGTTACGACCGATCCTGGTCCTGCGCATTTTGAGCCGTTCTCTCCATCGACTACCGTTCAAAATGCTCACAGCCAAACGCATTCTCGAATGTGTTCGGTTTCAGGATTGGTCTGCAGCGTTCGACCTGAAGGACACGTACTTTCATGTCTCCATTTTGCCTCAACGCAGACCGCTTCTTCGGTTTGCTTTCAAGGGCCAGGCATATCAGTACACGGTTCTCCCATTCGGGTTAGCTCTGTCCCCTCGCGTCTTCACGAAGACCGTCGAGGCAGCCCTTGTTCCCCTTCGCGAGCACGGGGTTCGCATCCTGAATTTTCTCGACGACCGGCTGATACTAGCACACTCTCGAGCTCAGGTTTGCGAACACAGAGACCTGGTGCTACGGCACCTAGCCCGTCTGGGCCTTCGGGTCAACCGGGAAAAGAGCAAACTTTGCCCCGTGCAGAGGATCTCTTTTCTCGGCATGGAGATAGACTCGGTCGCCATGTGCAATGGGCATGCAGCCGCCGGTTCCTGGACAGGAGCCCAGCGCCTCATGCACATCAATTGCCTCGAGCTGCTGGCAGTACGGCTCGCCCTGCACCGCTTCTGAGCGTTGCTCAAGGGCCAGCATGTGCTTGTCCGCTCAGACAACACTACGGCAGTAGCGTACATCAACCACCAGGGGGGTCTACGCTCGCGCCGGTTGTCGCAGCTCGCCCGCCACCTCTTTATATGGAGTCAGAAGCACCTGAGGTCCCTTCGTGCAGTATACATTCCTGGAGACCGGAACCTGGCAGCCGACGAGCTATCACGGGTCCGTCCCATCTCCGGCGAATGGCGACTCCATCCCCAGTCGGTCCAGCTGATCTGGGACCAGTTCGGGGAGGCACAGATAGACCTGTTCGCCTCTCGGGACTCGTCCCACTGCGCCCAGTTTTATTCTCTGACCTGCGGCACACTCGGCTCGGATGCGCTGGCGCACAGCTGGCCACGGGGCCCACGCAAGTATGCGTTTCCCCCAGTGAGCCTCCTTGCACGGGTGTTGTGCAAGATCAAGGAGGACGAGGAGCAGGTCTTGCTGGTAGCCCCCTACTGGCCCACCAAGACGTGGTTCTCCGAACTCATGCTC